GTGTCAGAGTTTGTTGCGGAAAAATCAAATCCAGAAAGCACACATGGATAACTGATACAGCAGGATTCATTAACTTCTTTATATACATAGGAATAGATGAATAAATGTACAATACCAACAGATGATTCTTCTAAGTAAACACAAAGCAGGAGAGTTACAGGCCAACACAAGCAATTAGCTTCATTTCAGCAGACAAGCCCAGACAGACTACTAGTTTACTTCTTAGAGCAGCAGACTGCTTAAGTTTCTGTTTCAATTCTCTGCACAGTCACAGTCTCAGAACTGCTTGAGCTCCCGTTGGCTGACTTAGTTGCTATGCCTATTCATTGACTGACCTTGTTCCCATGTCTCTCCCAGTCATGAATATTTTAACAGTATTTAATTTTTATTTCTGATGATAAAGAATTATCAACGTCTTTTCTCTTCTTTTGTTTTCTGCCTGGCCCAACCTTTTATCATTTTGTTTCCTTTTTCTCTTTCCGAAACTCAATACAGGTGGAGTGGCTGAAGAACGAGGATGTGGTTGATGCTTCCCAGGACACAAACTTCCTGATAACCATCGATAACAATCTTATCATCAAGCAGGCTAGGCTGTCTGATACGGGCAACTACACCTGCGTGGCAAAAAACATTGTCGCCAAACGGAGGAGCACCACGGCCACAATAATTGTTTATGGTAATGGTTTCTTGAGAACTTGCGGGGGGGTGAGTGGGAGTCTGAGGGAATGAAATTCCGTTTCGGCGGGAGAATACGAGGAATAGAGCTTCCTGCAGTTGCTGATCTTACAAAAGTTAAACAGGTTCAGAGTCGTTGTATTGGGTGGGGAAACCATCTGGTAATATAAGGGATATAGAATTAGAAGACAAAATATCATACTGGAAGGAGATAATAGAAAACCGGTTCTATGTTGTTGCTAAGAAAACAGCATGGACACCCTCTATGAAGTTCCCAGAGGTTGTAAATAACTCAAAGGAGACCACTCTGCTTTTACGTTTATTAGGTTTTTGCAGGCATAAATATGCTTAAACAATACCCTGTTTCCCCCAAAATAAGACCTCCCCAGATAATAAGCCCAATCTGACTTTTGAGTGCGTGCACTAAAATAAACCCTCCCACCAAAATAAGCCCTCCCTAAAATATTTAAATGCATGCACAGCCGGTCCCCACCATTTCCTGCGGGGGAAGGGGGAAGATGCTCCACACGCCCTACATGGACCTGTCATCCACACGGAAGGGCCTCATGGAGGCCACTCCCACAAATCTTAAATACCGTGCCCCTTCTCTTAGTGGCGGCCACAAAAAGAGTGGCAGGCCCAGCAACTCTAGAGCTGGCAAGAGTGTGCCAGGAACAGAGACAGAACTTCCGTCTCTCTCTGGATGGAGGAGGGCATCAAAAGAAAATAAGACCCTGTCTTATTTTTGGGGAAACACGGTATAATGATTAGCAGTGAAATAATAAAATTAATAATAAATATTAATAATAACATTAAGCAACAAGTAATTGGATAATGAAAGAATATATTGTAATATAAGCATGTGTATTAAAAGTAGAAGCAGATGGATTGGATGAATGGAAGGAATATGAATAGATCTACCCTATATGTTTAAATGATATTGTGGTTGATATTAGAATTGTATATTGAAACACTGAACAACGAAAGAATGAAGGATGAAACTTTAATATATATAGATGTGAAGAGTTAAATAAGGGAAATATGAATAATAAAGTAGGTGGAAGATGGAAGACAGAAAAGAAACGTCTTTGAATACAATGGTGTCATGAATAAAAGTTGAATAGATAGATAGATAGATAGATAGATAGATAGATAGATAGATAGATAGATAGATAGATAGATAGAT